CGCAACATCCTTGAAAGCCTTTGAGCTAGTAGAGGTCCCCACTTCGGGCGCATTCTCTATCACAATAACAGTGTCCGCGGGCAAGAGAGAAAAAGACTCAGTTTTGGGGTTGTTGGTGGGGGCCTTAAGATTTTGAAAACCATGAGACACATTAAATATCATCCCTGCTGTCAACAACCACTCATTCTTTGCATTCAACCTCAAAGCCCACTCTTGAAACTCGAGATCCGTACCAGTTCCCGCTGATTTGGTCAAATTTGATGCAAATTCGGGCCCTTCTCCCTCTACAACTTTCCATTGGTGCCTTATAAGCATCCCCAATCTTCTTTCCTGGCTTCAATGATCCTATCGCCGCCTCATGTGCCTTCAAAAGCACATTATCAGCCTTCTTGTGAATGTCATCAGCATCAATCAAGTAGGTCCTAGCAACATTAGAACAGTAACTATTGCAACGAGACCCTATTGCACATATAATCACACTTGTAGCATCATAATAAATGTGGTCATTATTACTTGAGGAATTTGGTCTAAGGTCAAACTGCCCACCACTCTGAAAGATGGGTGTGTAACAAATATCTACATTGGCTGCCTTGAGTTTCACCTTCAACTTTGCAGGACCGAGAATAGCCTTCTCAGTATCATCCATTAATGAAGAATGGGTAACCTTCTTCTCTTCATCTATGGTGACCTCAAGCTTTGGCACACAAAGTTCTTGAGGGCAGACGCACTTAAGAGAGCAGCCTTCTTCACATTTATAATCTCATTTTCATCCTTAACAGCAAAAAGCACTGAGAACCCATTAGTCACATCATCAAGCTGAAAATTCGACCCTAGCTTCTCCCCTCACATTTCTAAAATCCTCCCTTCTGCGGCCTCTCTAGCAATATGCCCCACCACCACTTTCTCCAATCCGCATGTGATTTGATTAGATTAAAAATATCTTCCATTTGGGAAACCACAACTTTGTTTCTGCGCTTAACATGGATCGAAACCTCAAACTTCAGTGCCAAATTAGCTAACTCTTTCAGTGGTTCTAAAATGTTGGCCTTCTTTTGACCGCAAAGGAAGTAGGTCTGTTTTGGGGTAAAGACCATGATCGTTTCAGGGAACTCATAGCCAAGAAGCCAGGTATTAAGGGCGGATGATTTGAGGTAACGAAGGTCATCTGATTGAGGTGGGGTTGCGACTGCTATGGCATCAGCTGAAGCCCATAGAGAGTCCCGATTTTCAACCCAACTTGAATAAAGGCCTTTAACCTCTTGTTGAAGGCAACTAGATCAATTTGTTAAGGAGAAGGCACTACTGGTTTTGCATTGCCATTTCTGAGGTCTGCCATGCCAAAAGAAGGAACTTGCTGACGAAAAGGAAAAACTTGTTTCAGTAATGGCCATATAACAACGCAAGAACAGGAAAACAACAATATTTGTACATATTTTTGCTCCTGTGAAATTGCACAGATTATATGGGAAAGAGTTAACAGCCAAAATTGTCCCCAGATACTTCTATAGAAATATTTTAAGTTGCCCACTTTCAATATAAAAACACACAGTTATTTATTCAAGAAATTGTTTCTAACAACTTAAATCATCACAAAAAGGAACCCAATAAGAGCTAGCAACGATAAGAATCGAGTCAATTTTAAGCTTTTCTACAAAATAAATACAATACTGTCGCTATCTTGCAATGTTGTACTCTACAATAACATCTAACAAAATCATCGAATACTGTTGCTACCTCACGATTTTGAACTTTCTATAGCGTCTTTATAGTTTTAAGCACCAGAAAAACCCAAAGCATGACGTCTCTCTACAGAAAAAATCAGAATACAATTTCAAGCAGACAAGATACAAACCAGAACATGAATTCCAAAAATCCATCAATACCCAAGTAGCCAGAAAACTAGGACATACAAGAACACACCGAACATTAAAAAAATAAAAATAAAAAAAGACCCAAGTGGCCAGAAAACTAGGGCATACAAGAACACTGAGAACATTATATTAAAAAAAAAAGGTACCTGGTTGGTTCTTTGCTAACGCTTTAGCTATCCTCTTCCGGAACCTTATCGAGGGTGTTGAAAACCCTAAAGATTATGTTTTGAGAAAGAGATTGAGAGTATTTTTTGGGTGAGATGGAGAGAGATTGCAGCAGAGGAAGAAGAAAAGAGTGCCTGTGCTTAATGAGAGGGAGGGAGAGTAGTTTTTGGGTTAGGGCAGGAGGGCAACGGGCGAGAGAGAAGAGAGAGGAGGGCCGTTATTTCCGTTATTTCATTATCTTCGGCTAAATAATTGCAAGATATCTTCATTGGCTTCGGTGCATTCTGTTAGTGGGTTTTGCTTCGATTATGAGCCTTCTTGCGTTGACCTCCTTCTATTTTTGATCCATACGAATGTGAATTTTGTATCCCTCAGTGTTCATGCAGAAGAATCATGCATCTGTTATCAGTTGATTATCCCCATGGTTTTTACTCAGTTTTAATTTATGAATATTTTAGAATCAAATTCTTGCAGTGTCTTAGAAGAAGTAAAAAAAGGATGTATTAAGTTTATGAATTTTCTTTCTAAAATTGAAACTGACCACCATATCCATTGCCTTAACACCTTCAAATTTTAGATTATTTTTAGTTCTATTTATAAAAATAAACCTCCACCCTAAATTTCAGATTAATATTTTATTTAAATAAATATAAAATCAATTTTTGACGGTTAGATATGACCTTGTGAAATCTCAACCATTGAATGGATGCATGTACACCCTTCGATCCATCTACACCATATTTGGATGAGATACTTTTCCAAAGCATAACATATGATAGTCATACACCATACCAAAAAATTGATAACTTAATAGGAAAAAGTTTATATAAGGTTGCAACCTTAAAATCTAGAATTACAAATCCATCAGTAAAGGTTGTTTTAATGTTGAAAAACTCTCACATTGATCATCTCAATTTAAAAAAAAAAAGATTTTGAGTCTCAAAAATAATTTATCTTGCAACACATTATTCTGACCATTCATTTTCAAGTTTTTCATATATTTATAGATCTACTTGATTTTAACCATTTTTTGAGTTTAAAATTCTATAATTAGGTGTAAAAATAGATTTTTATATAATCCTAAAAAATTTTAATACCAAAATTACATGTTATGATCACATTTAGAGGTTCATTACTTTAATTGGATTGTTTAAGGTTTCAACCTTATAGAAACCACTACCTAAATTATATAGAGTGGTTTAATTTGGACATTATCCTTGATGTCACGTCTGCTGATGGAGACGACCTAGAAAGAAACCATGTTGAAATTTCCCCGAAAAATTCGAAACATTGTTGAGTTTTTCTCAAATTGCGGCGCTAGTGGTTTACTTGGGATTTTTAACCCACTCATCAAAACCATCAAAACTTTTATAATGTCAGATACTCTTTGAAACCATGTTCTGAACAACAGATTGATGGGATGGATTGTTTACTCATATATGTATAGGATCATCAGATCAAAGATTTGGAGTGGATTTGAATCTCTATCGAACAAATTGGTGATCTAAAAAATATTTAAATATAAATAAAAATAAAAATAGAGATTTTATAGGAAAACTACAAAGAAAGTTAATGAAATGTATCCTAAGAAAATATTATTTTTAGATAAATATACAAAGTGATCAATTTATTTTTGATATAAAGAGGTGACAATTATTCTTGTTCATCATATTGCAAATCAAATAGCTGTGAGTGTATCATTGATTAGTCTCAAACTTCAAAAAAAAGAAAAATTGAATTTTGTGACATCCCCCAAATTAACCAATTTGACACCTTAATGCTAGTATCAAGCATGACCTCCTTACAACTTTGATTGAAAGGAAAAGTATAGAATGAAACTATTTATCTTTAGTACAAGGTGGTCACAATTAATTTTGACTATTGGATGTGAGATTAGTTGGATGCATTTATTTCATTGACCAAGCTCAAACTTTAAAAAAAAAAATTTCGAACTTTATAACACACTTAAACTTTCAAAAATCTTATAAGATGGTTGCAAGTGATTGTGATCACCTTGTATCAACAGTAAATAGTCCCATTACAGACAATCCCATAGTCTTATAGTATTTTTTGTATTTATTTTTACAAAAAATATATATATTGTTTATTTTTCTTAGGTTCGTCTTAATTTTATGATGGGACGTGTAAAATTTTATCCAAAAATATTTTGTAAAAAAAATGAAAAATAAAACATTGTTTGACATGACATTGAAGTATGAACAATCGTAGCCGTTCGATTCAGATTGAATTGCTAAGAAGTGGGTCATATATAACTTATATGTGGTTGGGGCCATATAGAAACATTTCCCCATATATATATATATATATATATGAAAAGCTTTTTATGTTCCCCTATAACATAGAAGTTCTATGTTCCTCTTATCCAACTGTTCATTTTTTAATGGAGGGCTAAGATTGCCCCAATCACAATGTCACGTCTCTACACTATTTTATTTTTAATTTTTTTTCTATAAATTGTTTTGACACCAAATTTTGGACGTCCATTCCTATATTAAACTTGCACTAACGAAAAATATAAAACAAATTTTCAATAAAATAAAATAACCAAAATACCCTTAAAAGTTTCAAGGGGTATTTTGGTTATTATTTGTTATCGAAAAATTATTGTTAATATTTTTTATAAATGCACCCCAATGAGAAGATGATACCCACCAAATTTCATATTCAAAAAAATTGTATTAAAAAAATTAAAAATAAAATAATTTGAGACGTCCAAGCTAAGATGAAATGGTGGGTGGCTCTCTTGATCAAAGGACGGCTGGATGATAAGGGGAACATAGAACTCCTGTACGGGTAGATACCTATATATATATATATTTTTTTATTTTTTTTAGTGGAGACCCATGGTTTTGAAATGATACAAAGTCGTACCTTGGTTTGGTAGTCGGTTGGGAGGCAAGGCACACGAGGGGATAGG